AAGATTTGAGAATGTTATATAGAGACAAGTGAAGCCATGAGAACTAAAACACTAGAAGAAACAAAATAAACGTTTTGATTTGTAGAGTAACCACTAAGTCTCCTATTTAGAGAATTAATTATATCCTTTTGGTTTAAAAAACCGGAAAAAAAAAAGAGAAATAAAGAAGATCAAAATAAGGGAGGCGTAAATTGAAATATAATTTTAAAGTAATATCTTAACTTTTTAATATAATACATAAATAGAAGAAAAATTTAAAAATTAAAAAAAAGATAAATATTAATAGTGGTCATTAAACGGTGTCGCATCAGCTTATACGATGCTTTATATTAAGTATAAAATAAATAAACTAAAATTATTAATGTTAAGTTTTGCGAAGTCGACATGATATGGAAGTCCAATTGAAATTGAACTAATAAAATAAAGGGAAATTTAAATTGTATTTCAGTACGAATTGGATTGATAAACATTACCTTATTCTTGGAGAAGGGTTTATACGTGATATATTTATATAAAGGGTTATTGTAAAAGGTTTTATACCAACTTTTTAAGAAAAATAAATTGTCTTTTGGAGAGTGTACTGTCAAATCATATGGCTCGGAGTGGGTTGGACATGGCTCGGAGACACCGAGGTGAAATTAGTATGAAGAGAGGCGGTGTTCGGGTTAGCGAAGGTGGATCAATGGCTGAGAGACACCATGGTAAAATTTATACGGGCAGTGATGGTTCTGATGACAATCCATGGGTAGGCGGTTGCATTCTTATGATGGCGGTAGGTTATTATGCTATCGATAATTTTAGAAAGTATTACAAACACCAAAAGGAAAAGTTGCAAGTATTAAGAGAGGAAAATCAACAACGTGAAGATCGCATTTTGGCGGAAAACGAAAGTTGTTTCCCTATCCATCCATATATGCATTCCACCCCGCTAAGCGGTACACGCTTAGATTAGTCTCAATACAAAAAAAAACGCGCTTAGCGTAAATCCCTATGTTTTGATTCAATAATTGATTTAGATTATCACTAATCTTGATTAGTTATAATTGTTATCTGAGGAAGTTTTGTTCGGCATTCTTTTAGAAAAATGGGTAGTCAACACAATTCCATCGACTATTCTAATTAAGTTTGATACTAAAAGAATAAATTAATAAAAGTAAAAAAAATAAATTCATAATTCTTTTTTAATTAAGTTTGATACTAAAAAAATTAAATTTTAAAAGAAAATTCTTTTTTTTATTAAATTGTATTAATTTAACAGATAATGACTTAAAATTTTATTTTATTTCATTTATAATCTTAACTGTTTTAGTAAATTTAAAAAATCTAATCTCTTAATAGATAAACTCTAGTTAATGATTTTGTATAAATTTTATTTACTGATAAAAAGATTTTATTTTAAATTCCAGAATATTATCTAATATACAGATAATACGTTTTTCTATGGTTTTATTTGAACCTAAATTATATATTTTTTAATTGAAATAAAATAACAACTGAGTGAATAAGTGGTGTTCGTTATTTTTTTGTTACATCATTACACATCTAGAGTCATGATAAGAAGTCCAACTTCTCGTTATCCATACATGTGCATTCTAAGTATTAATTTTACTCGATGTTTGGTTGTGTTTTTTTTTTTAATTATATAATTAATATTAACATAATTTATGAAGAAATTCATGTAAGTTATGCGGGATAGAAGGTAGAATTAGTTATGTCGGTATTGGTTATATATGTACTTTCGACGTTTCATTTTATATGTCATCTTTCGAATTTCAAGAGTAAAACAATTTTATCTTTGATCATAAATTTTTCATAGATCTTTTAAACATTTGGAATTATCATTTATTGTGACTCATAGTATTTTTTTTTATGTAATTTACAAATATATAAATTTCGTTTCAAATAAATTGAAGATTTCATGCACAAATTTCCAGTCAAACTTAAATTGTTTGCCACTCAAAACATAAAAATCAATGAAAATATTTAAAAAGAGGGGAGAATTTATATCTGTTTACATATATATATATATATATCAACAAATTGAATAGTTGATAATTATGTATTATGATCTCTACATGACTAAATAATACCTACATGACTAATATTCGAATGACTAAAGCCAATATAACTAAACTTTGCATAACTAATATCTGCACATCTAAACCTGCATAACTAATATCTGCATAACTAATATCTGCATAACTCTAACACTACAATAAAAATAAATTTTAGCGGCAATAAATATTGACATTAATAAAGAGCGTTAAAGTTTTTACGGACATTATTTAAGTGTCATTAGAACTAATGTCACTAAAAACTTTAGGCACATATACAAAGAATGTTAATTGCCGATAAAAAAATACATATTTAGCGACAAATAAAAATCAATTACCGCTAATGATCATTTTTAACGTAATATAACCGGTAACCAAATGACACCAAACTTAATGTAATTATTCTGTAAATATTGATTTTACTCTACCATTCATAAAGCATTGGAAAGCTTAATTTTGCGTGACTTTTTAGTTCTATTTGGTTGAAATTTGTCGGTGTTGCCTAATTTTTCATGCAAGGAGGATTTCTTAGGCTATTAATTATTTCTCGCTCGGTGTATAATATTCTTATAGAGTTTGACATTTGATTAAATATAAATTAAGGAAGTGACATGTAAGTGTACATGTCATTGGCATTCCACACTGTTGTTTCTTTTCTTAATTTGGCCAATTCAATCTTTCTATGAAACGGTTTTACAAATATCATTATTGTGGTTGTCAATTTGTCAAATGGAAATCTATTTGAATTGAGTAGTAGTTGTCAAATGGAATATTTGGAATTGTTATTTAAAAAAGCAAATTTGCTTTTGGGGGTAAACTAATGCCTAGTGGGGGATTGTGGACCCTTTAAAATTGTATGTAATAGTACTAAATATATCCCAAAAGAGAGACAAAAAATTTCCTCCTGAAATAATGCTTGCAAAATAACTTTTTAGGGCGAGTATTTTAATTTATATGACTCATTTTTTTACGTAGTTAATTTCAAAAGATAATAATATAATTTTGAATTTTTCATTTTATCAATAAAATAATTTATAATCATAAAAATATTTACAATTCATTTTAAAAAATATTTCGTGTTAAATCAAATTATGTCGAAGATAACGAACTTTTGAAGTCATGTAATTAACAGTATCTGTGAACCACCGCTATATTAGGCTCTAAATTATCATTCAAAAAATATAATAAAGACTATACATAATTAGGGGACCCCCCAAAATCTAGCATTCAATTCAAATCAAAACAGTCCAAAAGTTAAAATTATAAAATTGTCTTAAAAAAAATTAATGTTTTTCTCTTATATACTATATAAAATATACACGTTAATGGAGCTTTTGTTTTTCATATTTCCCTACAATGATTACCTACTTTTCCACCTTTTTAATTAAACCTTAATTATTTAATTAAGCCTTAATAGACTTTTTAATCCTTGCTGCTTTAACTAGCATTTAATGAATGAAAGCTGGAAAACATGTTGTAGGTAGTAGGTAAATAACTTCACGAATACCATAAGATATCTTTTACTATACAAGAATAAATGGTGATAACTTTTTAATATTAAGTTCTAAAACGCTTTCGAACTAGTTCGTATCGTTTGATTGAAATTAAATTTATATTTTAGATTTTTGATCTTATCGATCATTAAAAGATAATTCTTAATAAATAAAATTTTGTGTTCAGACACTTTTGATTGCTAAATTTACTAAACATATAGACCATTATGTAACAAAATCTTTTATCTCTGTTTAAAAAAATATTAGCATATTTTCATTAAAGAAATAAACACAAACAAAAATCTAATATAATATATACATAAAAATTAATTTATATTATATATAAATAAAATAATTTTCTATTAAAATTTTTCGAATGAACACCTTAATCATACCCGACTCAACGATTTAGAACACAACAAACATCTCCTGCCCATTAAAAAAGTCTTTCATTCAAACCAAGCCCCACATACATAACATCAAAATAAAGAACAAAGCATGAGCCAAAAGTATTACCAGGCCCCTGCCTGCCTCCACAAAATTGAAGGGGTCAAAAGTAAAATATTTTTCTTTATAATTCAAATACTTTTAATCATAAGATAAAAGTAAAGTAATTTCTTGGTTATTTATTCAATGTTTCTCTTAAAATCTTAATTAAATTTAAATTGCGCATTATAAGATCAGTTAAGTGTTATTATCAATTAGCGATAATAAGAAACTAAAATCAGGACAGAGGGATCATTAAGCAACCTTCTAACATGAATAAAGTCGCTCTAAAAAATGTGACTTTGTTAAAAAAAGATTTAAAAACGTTTTTTACATTATCTTTTTTTTTATTTAATAAATATTCAACGTGTTTATAAATAAAAATCAATCAAAAATCATAAATTGATCACCTCTAATATATAATTTTGAAGTTCATTAATATTTATAATTTAACCAAGAATTTTATTATTTTATTTTTAATATTGTTAAAATATATTTTAACACCTTTTCTTTACAAAATACAAAAGATACTACTCCATTAAATTTGTTTTATTTCTTGTAAAATTTTTAAAAAATATTTTAAATAAGAAGTACCTTTGTCATAACTTTTTACCAACAACCATTTTTATTACTTGTTATCAATTAATTATCAATGTCAGTATTTCTATTAAAATTATTAATTATTTATTTATTAAATCTATTTCAACACTTGAAAGTACTATTCAATACTTATAACAACTCTTTACAATCAACTAATCTAAACAGACCTTTAGTCAATTTCTATTTGCTCTAAATTATAGAGTAAATTATTTTCATTAAATAAAATAATAATATTAGTGATATGAGTACTACTAAACTTTTGCTAATTTCAACAATTTATTTAAAAAATTATTAAAAAAATAAAAAAGTGAAAAAAAGTAAAGTAATAGGACCTTTTTTTTTTTGCCTCTATATTTGGCCTTTCTTGTCTACTGTCTTACTATACCTTTATTCAATTTCATTCACTAAAGTTTCCATTTTTCTAAAATGGGCTGCTGTTTTAGCTCCACCAGAAAACGCCACCGCATGTCGCCGCCGTGTTCCGCCGTGAACGGCCGAGATCCACCACCATCGGAGGAAGAAACTGTCAAAGAAGTTCTTTCTGAAACACCCATTCCCAAACCCCACCACCCCTCACCACCAGAAGTCCTAATCGACGACAAAGTAGCTGACTTTCCTCAAGTCAAAATTGAATCGACGGCTGTCGTTAAACCCAGAGATGAAATCAAGTTTGAATCAGCTGTTGTTAAACCCAGAGAGGAAATGAAGTTTGAATCTACGGTTGTGATGAAACCGGAAGTATCTGAAGAGCCTTCGGAGATGTGTAGCTTTACTGAAAGCTATTCCACGACGGCGACGGCGACGGAGAAGAGAGAGGAAGATGGAGAAGTAACACAGAGGTCACCGATTAGAGTACATAGGAAGAGGCAAAACACTGGAGATCTCAATGGAGTTAGAGAGAGAAGTTTTCGGTCTCAGACGGGAAGATCGGCGCCGTCGCCGGAGAAAAGAAGGTCGCCGGCTTCGTCAAGGGGAGTACAGGGGAGGGGAATGCCGCAACAAAGGCGTAATGTGGGACCCCCAAATGGACCCCGACGAGGTCCCAGCGAAAATGGGGTTCGGCGGTCAAATTCTCCGGCGAAACGTGGAACGGTGGATGCACGTCGGAATGTGAGAAACAGAAGTCCGGCGGCGCGTGAAGCAGAAAAACCTGGTAATCAATCGCCGGCGAGAAACGCCGAGAATGAGGTAAGTAGTAGTAAAACTGAAAAACCCAAAGAAGAAGTTTCGCCGGTAACCGGCGAATCACTTGAAAATCCTCTGGTTTCTATGGAATGCTTCATTTTTCTATAGGCTAAAGGAAGAAGAAGACAAAAACGTCGTCGTTTAAGACTTTAAAGAAGGTGTATTTCACTATTTTGGTAAACTATGAGTTGGAAAATTTCAAATTTTGTAAATATAAGGTACTAACTTGATATTACTCTCAAGTGTGACATATTTGATTTTTGTTCAAAAATAATTATTTGTCATGATTTTTACTTGCTTCGTAAGTCTTTCATGTCATAATATAATTGATACAAGTAACTAATTAACTTGAAGATAAAATAAGAACAAAAAATTATGTTAATTTGGGGATGTTACAATAGGTTGTTGAATTGAACTTATTCATACCATATCTTTGAAATAGTGAATATAAAATTAATATTTACCAAGTAGTATAATGTTTAGGGTCGTTTGGTTTCTTGGATTGAATTGAGATGAGATATTCAAGAATTAAATTTTTATTATATTTGATTGACGACCATTTGTTTAAATCTAAATACTTACTCATACAGTTTCATCAAATTTGAGATTATATATTTTATCTCAAGTTCTAGGAGGGTTAAATAAACCAAGAATTATGATCGCGGAATAATTTAAGGTACGTATCAAATGACTCCTTAGAGTATCAACAAAATTAAGAGGTTTAAGTATGGATTCAACAAAACCTAGCAATTTAATGAGTAATTTTCGTTGATAGTCACCCTGGTCTTTAAAAGAAATAGAAAAATATTAATAATAAATTAAAAAATGTGACATAACATCTTAGTAGAAGAGAAATAATGTATTTTTTGTGTCTAAGTACAATTTAAGAAAAAATAGATAAAGTTGGGTAATATTATAATCCTAAAACAAACATAAGTGATATTCTTAATTAATTTTTCAAACATGGATAACTGACTATTTAAGAAAATTACTCCACTTTAATTAAACTATACTTATATTAGAATTCAGTTGCGAAATTTGATATAGCTGACTATCGACTATGTTAAAGTCAAAAATTTTAGCTCCGCCCTTAACTTGCTAAGGGCATGTGTTGATGTGAAAAAGAAATAAAGTGTTCTTTTGGTGTTAGTGAAAGGTTATTGAGATTGTCATTTAAATGGAGATTTGTGAATATGCAGCTTCTGTTCCCTCCTTGGGATGAACTCTTTTTCATCTAAATGGCTTACTAATTTTTCTTGATAAAATTGCATTTCTTGTTTATTATTTTTTAATATAATATGCTTTGAATATTGCATTTTTTGCATGCTCATGCATAAAATCTTGTAAGATATGTGAAGGGAAGAAAACTTTAACTTGTGTTGCAAAAAGGACAAGAAAATAATAGGTCAACACTAGATTGTCGTCAATTGATCCAATTATTTTGATTTGGCATCCTGGTCGGGTATCGTAGTAGGGTCCGAGTAATTCAAATTCGAATTGTGTTAAGTTCAATAAAGAAATTTTTTGATTTAAACCTAATGAACCCTATTCATACCATCATAGTTTTTAGATATAAATATACAAATATGTCATTTAACTTTGAGTATATATAAGTAAACACTCAAACTTATATAAAGTTAAACAAGCAGATACATAAATCCATTATACACGTAGGACACTACTTAAGATACAAATTTTCATATAAACTATTTGTTCGATTCTATACTTGTTTTAACTATTTATTTATATACATCTAAAATTAAAGAACATAAATATCACCCGAAACCAAATTAAATTTTTATTATCTCATTTGATCCAATTGTTGTTTAGCGGAAAAAGGACATAGTTAATGTTTAGCGTCTTTGTCCACATCAATAAATGGTGATTCCCGTTGGATCGTCTTAGATTCTTCTTGCGTTAGAAAATAAAATTTATGATTCGACTAAATTTCATCATATAAAAAACACTACCATTAAAAATTACTTTATATCAAAATCAAAGAAATGATTATATTGGCGAAAGAATTAAAGGGAACAGTTGCTTCCACTACTAGTAATCCACACGCTTCACAAAACCCAATGAAATAGTACTCCTACATGAAATTTGAAATGGACAAGAGGGAAGAAAAAATATAATTTCCGCCTTTATCATAATATACATATTAATTCATGTATATAATTTAAAAATAAGAATAATATATGAAAAATAAATTATATTCTCTTGATACACTAAAGTAGATAAGTAAAAATAAACGATAAAGTGTATGATGTAAGCATTGTTGCTAGAGGGTGTTAGCTAGTACTAATTTTTACCCCTTAGGTGACACTATATTTTGGAATAATGCATGCTTTCATCTGCTTACTAGGATTATCATAGTTTATTAATGCGTGCATGTTGTGAAAATATTCCCCCACGGAACATCTAACATATATAAGGCCAAAAATTGTGGAATAAGTTTTGAAGCGGTGGTTGTTATAAAAATAGAATGTCACGATCCAAAAATGGGCGTGATGACCCTCGTCTTATCCCACCAAGACAAGTCAGCCTAAAACTCAATCATTACAATAAAATGCGGAAATAAAATATAAGTAACTTAATAAAAACCCCAAAACCTGGTAGTCACGTGTACAAGCCTCTAAAGTATTACAATTGATTCAAAAGAAAAACTCAAGTCTCAAATGAACTTGTTTCTAGAATAGAACAAGATCATAATTAAGGAGAAGAAAGTCTGCTGCGATGGAAACAACTACCTGACAAATCTCCAAGAAACCTCAGACAAGGAGATGGGAAATATTACAAAGTCCGGGCTAGTAACCTACAAAAAAATTTATAGTAGCAAGGGTTGAGTACCAAACCACACTGTACCCAGCAAATAAAACGTCTAAACACGAGCTAAGGGGATCAAATACGGGTACTCCTACCACCCCCAACCAAACCTCCACAACTACAACCTGCATTAAAATCAACCCAACCTAACAGCTCACAGTTTACATAGCACTTAGCTCAACAACAACACTTAGACAAATTACATATCCTCAACAACAACACTTCAACAAATTACATATCCTCAACAACAATACTTCAACAAATTACCTATCCGCAATAACAAGCTCAATATTGATCAATCACAAGTTCCGTAGAAAAGCAATCAGAAGATCAGCAAAATACGATATCAAGTTCACTAATGGTAAGTATGTGCAATGCAATGGAATGCAATGTCAAGTATAATGATGGATGTCTGACCTAGTGATACACACCCGTTGTCTCTCAGTCCGGGACCCAAGGGGGACATATCTATCCATGCATCTGTCGCGACGCACAACACGACCCTCGATAATAGTAATCATCGCGGCGCGCGATACGTCCCTCGAAATATAGTATCCATCGCGGCGCGCGATACGTCCCTCGAAATGGTACATCTTCTTAAGTACCCATTCTTTCTCAATGCACATAACACTTGTCACAACCAATGCCTCAGAATAATGCAGATGACAAGTTCACACAAATAATGAGGAGATGACCATTTTCATAACATCGCACAGTTCGCAACCACACAAACATGAAGTTACATCAACAATGATTCAAGAAGCCTTCAACCCTTTCTCAACACAACACACATAAACAATTAATCACATTGCCTTTTGTTATCCCCATTCTTTTCATCATTAGAATTAATCAATGTGGACAAGTCAACCCATCACCAATCCCGTTACTCCTAACATATACCACAAAGACATACACGCATTTCATACACTTAACAAGAGTTTAGAAATTCACTTGCCTCAATCAATCAAGAACTCACTCCGGGACTTGAGTCTTTCCCTTTCGTTGAACTTCCAACTCAAAGCAATCTATTCACATTAATAATCACAATAAGATTTTAAAGCTAACAACGACCAACTCTATAATCAAGTTCCCAAGTTTCAAGCCTAGGATTAAGTTCCCAAATTATTTTCAATAGCATAATTCCAATGGTATTCACATAATACCCTACATCTAATGCTTAATATATATCTTAATGTATCCAACTTCAATTTTTTTTTAATTATATATATATACATTAACTAAATTATAATTATTAAAATATGAGGCCACTGGTTACGAAACCAGTGACAGACGAACAAAGGAGGAAAACATATCCTATGTTGAGAGTAATACTATATATAATTAATTAAAAGCTATTCAACATGGCCAATCATTACGCCTCCAACATACAATTATTATGCCATACTTTCCCACTAATATTTTCTCTCCAAAGACACTGCTAACAACCATTTTTCCACAACTTATTTCTATAATAATAATATAATATGGGCATATCTAAAATTACCAATATAAGGATATAGATAAAATTTTCAAGTCTTGATTCCAATCAATAAATTAAATCTCATATTTCCTAAATTTCAAATCTAAAATTAAATCGTAACTTTTCAAACACTACAACCCCAATAATATAATATGCCTGTTACTTAATAACTTACACTAATATATCAAAAATATGAATCATAATTGGATGACTAAAAACAGTTTGTGAAACCAAAAATTAGGTTATAGCTACTTAATCTGAACAATGAACCACTGTATAAAAATATAAATCAAAATAATCAATCCGTCATAATGATAACTTTACAACATGTGGCGATCATTACTATGGCCACCAAGATCTTTATGTCCACGTATAGGTACCAAATTTGGTTTTGCATCATTCAAATTCTCAACTTTCTTTCCTAACCCATTATAATAATAAACTAATAATAATAATATAACCTCTATAATTCAATTTAGTGTTTCAAATGTTCTTAATTACCTGATGCAATTTAGCCGCCACTTTGATTGTGTGGGAGTTGTGACGTTCTCCTCGAAAAGTTATCCCTTTTCCTTTTTCCGTCAATATCTATTTCAAGTTTCAATATTAGGGTTTTTGGCCCTTATTTCTTTTTTTTAAATAAAATAATTAGGTATTTAAAGTGGTAAATTTTATTAACTAAAATTAATTATATGAAACAAATTGTATATGATTTTAATAAATGATCACGTTAACCCTTTAACTATCGATTAATTCAATTATCCACAATTACACATCAACTAATTAACTAAAGTCAATGAATAGTTCGAAATTATCAAAAATGAACTAGTGGGTCATTACATAGAATATTTCAAAACATTAGCTTTTGAAAGACTTTGAAGTAATTGTGCTATAATTGAACGTTTTTACGTAAATAAATATTACTTTAAGAAAAAATAGAAAACTTTCACATATAACCACTTAAAAATAATTAATTACTCT